AGAGAGAGAGAGAGAGTGCGCGCGCGCGCGCGTGTGTGTGTGTGTGTGTGTGTGTGTGTGTGTGTGTGTGTGTGTCTAAACTTAACCTTTACCCTTCTTTTTTATTTCAAAACCAGGGTCTGATTTCCGAGAGGTCTTAGATTACTTAGAAGAGTTGCCTCCTATGAGCCCGGATTGGAAAGTGGCAGCAAAGTAATAATATGTTATATTAGTTGATGACATCCTTCAAGCCTGCGCCTGTCGTGTGGTAGTTAATTAGGCTCTTCATGATGCACACAGGAGATATGGGTTCGGTTCCGGAGTGGGAAAGGTTTTTTGTTTGTTTAAATTGTTAACGTTAGGTTTTTTTTCCTAATCGAGCATCTTTGCCTGTCTGCTGTGGTGTTGTATCAAACTCAACCTAGATTGGCCCAGACACGCAAGGTCAAAGCAATCCGCCTCCTATTGTCTAAGTTATGCCGATTGGAACATCAAACGTTTGGGATTTTTAACAAAATGATTTTTAGAGATTATGTTAGTGCACATGCTAAACAAGAAAGTAGGGAACACAAAAGAATGCGACAATGATATCGAGCCATCGCCCTGTTCAGACATACCAACAGGCTAGTGCGACTGGCTAAACAAGAAAGTAGGAAACAAAAAAGAATCTAAGGTGAAAAAAGGGAGACCTTGGTCACGCAAACAGAACAATGAAAAACGGACCTTATGAAAATTGTATTACTGTAGGGCAACAGAAAAGCAAAGAGAAATAGGCGAGGGCGTCCCTTTCATACATTAAAAACGTAAAAGCCAACAGTGGTGAAATGGTGTGGGTTTAACGCCCCTATCAACACTTATAGTAGGTTATACAAGGGGTGGGACCTCCGAGTTAAACGTCCATCTCCGAAAGGACCGAGCCAAATGGGAAATTCGTGTAAAATGCCTTTCCCAAGGACACCGGACTGAGCTGAGGCAACAGTGGTCTCAACTTCGTGAAGTAATACATCAAAGTAGAGACCGGGAAAGATGGAGGCCTGTTGTGGGAAGGAGCGGGGGACAAACCAACTAATATGGTGAAGGTGACAGGTCGGGATAGGTGAGGGCCGGTGAGGGAGTACCAAGGCCACAAACTTCATTGTGCGCCCCTACAAAACAAGAAGCTACGAGCTTTAACTTTTACATGTTCGGTGAACCTTTGTCTCCAGCAATTAATTGAAGTGAACGACACAAGGAGTGGACATGATTAGCCTACATACTATATGTTTGGGGCGAGCTTTCCTTATTTTTTCAAACACCATTACAACCCTTTTTGTCATTGTTTAGCATACTCATAGAGTTTTTCTAAAGTTGTATTTAAGTGGACAATTCATGGCCATTACAATATAATTTCATTAAATTATAGTGTAAACATAAAGTAAGACGTATGCATTGTTGGCAACTAGTTCTAGTTGCAACAATCAAAATCATTCGAATGTACGGATGATTCTTTTTGAAAAATACATTGTATTTACAGAAGAAGAAGAAGAAGAAGAAGAAGAAGAAGAAGAAGAAGAAGAAGAAGAAG